ATAATTGTTTAGTGAGCCTTGCATGGAAACTGTTGATTGACTCACAAAAGGTACCATTTCCTTGTCTAAGATATTTAATACTCTACCACAAGGAAAGCTTCATGTGTCATCTGATCGGCAAAGTTAAGCATCATTTTGTGGGGTAATAGTACTTGGATGGACGGCGCCCTCTAAAAACACCGCAAGTTGTGAGATTTCTCGTAGTCTCTTTTTGGTCTTCTTTACCAAGCTGATATCAGTGAGTGCAAAACTCCCTTGAGTGTGCTGCGGTTGTTCCCTATGATTCAGATGATCAATTTATGCCCAGGCAGACTTGTCACCCTGCGAGGCATCAGTTCATAAACATCTTTACTCTTTCCACCTACATTATTAACTGTGTGGTGACTTTTTTCCCTGTGGATTTGATGCTGTGGTTCAGTGATTTACTGAACAATTGCTACGGAGAATGCTACTCATGGATCCCATTTTCTATGAAACAATTTTGTAAAGCATCAGCATGAATCCAGCTTCCACAACATTCATAGATTTGTTAATTATATAGACTGGAACGCTCCTCGATCGTTAACAGAACTGTTGATCTTTTTATCTATTCCTTTCATTTTGGTGCAAAAAATTTGCTTAAATTACAATAATGAAAACCCTTTGGTTTTCTCTCTAGGATGCTATACAATGCATATCTGAGGACTAATACTTTAAAATGTTCAGGGGAGCAAGCCCCTAGACCTCCTAGATACTCCAAACTCTGGCTGTTACTTTTTTGAAGCCCCTCTCTATAAACCCAAGATCTGCCCCAGGTGTGTTTTGTTACCCTTACCTATAAGTAAGAGTTAACCTTATAAACCCCAACTGTAACCATCTAAACTGGCGTGCTAATAAGGCTCACCAGAGAAATGAATGTCGAGGCTAAAATTAGTGACTCAAAGAGCATATACACCTTCAGAAACTTGGAATGGTTATGAAACCTGACAAAGTTCTTTGTTGTATGTTTTTGTTCGCTTTTTTGGCCTTGACGATGCCCAAAACACAATAGTTGTTTACTCCGTATTGAGGAACTAACCAATAGAAATGTGTT